CAACATTTGGCAGATAGGTTGCTCAACATTTTCACCAATCTTGCAGGTAAAACATCTTATAGAGATTTTCTTTGTAAGCTGAGGCCGTAATCATTTTGTAATTTCTATCCCAAAGTTTTTGCCAATTCTCCAATTCTATATTATAATCAATGATTGCCCAGCCAATCATCATTTCTTTGACCATTTCTTCCTCCATTTTGTAGTTCAATAAATAATTGTATATTTTTAATAAATTTTTCGTCTGTCCCCATTAAAATTTTATCCAGTGCTGTGGGTTCTTTATTTACACCCCATGTTCTAACATCTTTCTCATATCTTGACTGGATCAGAAAATACGGCCTCAATATCAACCTTCTTACTAGCCCTCTCCCATTCTGAAAATCAGAGAAATATCTTAATTTTTACTTTTGCATGTTATGCTGTTGTCCATTGGGGTCTGCAGTAATCTGGCTACGAAGGGAAAAGCAGATTCAGAACATACGTAGGTGCATATATAGGCACCTATGAGCATCTCCAGAAACAAAAACCAACTTTTTTGTCCCGTGTGAGCCCAAGAAAAGACAATCACATTTTCCCCTTTGCATCTGGATCACTACATTATCCTGGTTGCCATAAATGGGCAAGATTTTGGTACTAAATTAATTCATTTGCTGAAAGGAACTACTGTTTCCTACCCTTGATGATATATCATTAACTGTATTCTTGTGTGGTTTTCTTTGTTTGTCAGCCAACTTTAGCACTATTTATAGATAAGAGTTGGGGTGGTAATTAAATAAGCTTATACAACCAATAAATAACTGAAATGATTGCAACTGTCAGCAGCTGCTAGCATCTATTTTATTTCTGTGCCTGACTTCAGTAGGTTCTCAAGGAATTTTTTTAATCTCTTAGCTTAGCATCAGCCAGCTTCCTGCCCAAATATTTCAGTTCCAAATGGAGTTTTTCCAAGTTTCAAGTTCCCTCTGGCTCTCCCTGCATCTGTGCCTTTGGAACAGAGCCGAATTCTGTCTTAGGTAAGGGTCCTAATTTAATAAATGCTAAATGTTTATATTTATATATTATATGTATTTATTACACACACACACACATACTAAAGTCCTCAAACTTAAGTCTGAGATTTCAGTATAAAAAGTTACATGAATTATGAAGCTGTTAAGGATGGAGCAAGCCATGCAATAAAATGGAGGTCAGTATAAATAATCCTGAGAATTTTTAACTTGATGTTTGCTGATGCTCAATGTTGACATCTTCCTCTTCTTCACACCTTACATTGCAAATGTGTGATTTCTATAATTATTTTCATAGCAATGACTTGAAAAGCCTCTGTCTCTCTCTTTTCCTAGCAATCTGTGCAGATGGCAGCTACTACAAATTTTTATTCAATCAAAAAGGGGAATGCTCCAGAGATGTCTACGCTCAGTTTCTAGAAATGACTGATGACAAACTTTGACTGGACGTATGGTTTGGTGGGGCAAGTTATCAGAATCCCCATCTCAATTCTTCTCCTGTTGAAGAGACAACTTCTGACTTGCCAATTTGATGGCACTCTTCAAGATGGGACTGACCTGGTCAACAATTGGAACAAGGCAAAGGACTGATAATGTTAGCTCTCCACAGTTGGTTTTAAGTGTTACTTTGGCAGCTGCTGTTCTTTTCCTCTTAAAGTTTCAGTGTAAGGGTTCTCCCTGTTAAGTATCAAAACAGAGTACCTGCCACATTATAAAGTTGGAAAGAAAAGTTACTAGAGTTTTGATCAGTTGAAGATTCTTCATACTAGATTCAGCAGGCAGATTAATTGGAAATGGCGACCCAGTCATTTATAGCAGCAGCTTTTGCATTTACAGATAGTTTTCTCCTAATTCCCAGAAAGAAACTGTAGCAAAGTTGCTCAGAGTTGCAATTACTCAAAAATTGAACAATCAAGTCCGTTTCCATATTGCTGTGAATAGGTATTCATGTCATGTATCAGAGGTGCCAAATATTTTATAGCAACCAACATCAAGTGCTGTTAATTCAGTCATTCTGCCAGGTAAGAAGTATCAACAAAGAGGACTTGCAAGGCTATGTTGTCTCCATCTAGAATGTAATCATTCCATATTATTTACAATCTAGTCCTTTGTGTTCTGGTACTTACGCTGGAAAAGAAAAGGGTAATAAAAGTTCTGTGATAGCCAGCAGATGCCAGGCTCTGCTTCTACAGCCTCCAACACTTAAGTATTCAGAACACACTCAAATGATGCCTTTTTAGAACTATAAGGTGATAAAGGGACATGCCTCATTTTTCAAAACCCTTGGAACACATGTATGTGACCACTTAATTTTAATTTATCACTACAACAGTTTCAATTAATTTCATTTGCATACATGCTTCAAAATTTATTGAAGGCTTAATGCATTCAGCTGTAAAGCATCCAAACTTTTCACTTAATTAAAACCTATACTCAAATGTGGGTTTGCATGTTGCTTTTAAATGTGTACTTAATCATGAAAGTTATTTTGCACATCTTTTGTAATATTCTTTAATTAAAAGTGACTAATTTACTGTATTCAGTTAGTGGCAGCAAAGTTGATGCTAATTTTACTTTCCTTATTAATTTTTGTAAAATGTGTTATATTGCTTGTGATTCAAGCCCCGTCATCCATATCCAGCTCCCACTTAGTACCCAAGATTCAGGCTTCTCAAAATGTTTACCAAGAAACACTTTCTCATTCTTTATTAAAAATATGAAGGTCTTCCTTTCTCCAAGATTGACAGAATTCAAGAAATACAAATCTCACTTTTTACACATGGGGATTTTATTTTATGAATTTTCAAATTCATCTTGAAAGTACCATAATAATCTGGTCATACTTTGAAGGGACTTAATAGAAATGCTGTATACAATCAAAGTAATGTGCTGATGAACTTTGATTTTCCTATTTCAAAGGGAAAAACTGTTGAGGTAAACGAGTGTTAATGTGCTGCACTGAAATTGCCTGAAGTTCAACCAAGTTACTAATTTCAATTCACACTGCAATCAGTACTGGTTTGTAAATAAACCCTATGTATAAATAGGGTATTCATGACATGCTAAAACACAGCTGGCTACGGACACAGCTCTTTAAAAAAATAAAAATAAAAAAGCGGGATGGCCTAAGCTGGATCAGAGATATTCCACAAGTGCTGAGTATGAGCCTCTCCCCAGTTTCCCCCCTGCCTTCTAGGGACTAGAATACAAAGAAAAGCTGCAATGCTTGCTTCTCTGTTTAGAGGCCCAAGACTAAACCACTAAGTTATTGCTTTTCACTGTATTTGGAATTCAATTGTTTGCACTCCAGAATTCATATTGATGGGAGAGGTCTTTTAAACATTAAATACTGCTATTCAGGTGACATAGCCATTATTCAATTATCTAAATTTAAACCATGAATACAAACATTTATTCATATCAAATGTTAAAATAATTCAATGTAATTATATCTGTTTGCCAGGTTTTTATGTCACATGAAGAATACATGATTTAACTTCTCAAATTACATTTGCCACTTGTTTCTACATCCAATTTAGATAAACATTTTGCCAAATACATAAAAGCGCAGAAGCTATTCATGAATGCTTATATTTATGTGACCTCAGATCCCTAAGAGCCAGACCAACTTCAGGCTGCTTTAAGACCAACAACGTTTAAACATAATCAAGGCATTCTGCCTGGTTCAATCACGCAGTAACATGTCCCAACTCTTTAAGTATAAACTAGGCTTTTATAGAACAAATTATATTGGCTGAACTTAAGAGTAATTGCCATTTGTGATAAATGTTGGTTATATATTCTGAGTTGAGCTTAAATGGAAATAATTTGGATAAAGGAGACAAGGTAGTGGTAGTCAGGTTCACCAGGTAAAATGACTTTATATCATCTAAATATGCTAGCCATTGCATTAAGCCATTGTATGGTTTGTGTTTTGGCATATGTGAACCCATCCAATTATGATTTAGTCAGATAATTCAACATGCCTGAAACAAGATTTGTAAACAAATCTTTTTAATGAATGATAACAGGTAAAGATCTAAAACTCTTGCACATTATTTCCCTCAATAAAATCATCCTAGGAGTGAGATGCAACTAACTTATTGGGTTATATGTAGTTGGTTTTGCAGTGTAACAATGATTTATAGTATACTAAGTAGCATGTATATTTATGGGCAGTATCCAATTTGTGTGGTATTAAACCTGTAAGGGAGCAAAGGGACACAAATGACAAAATCTGTTTGCTATCATCAGATAAACACCAAAACATGATTATCAGAATCAAAAACATAATTATGATGTGACTATGTCACCTATTGCTATGGACATTAGTGCATTGTTAGATTGGATTCATGCATTGTAATTCATAATGGAATTTTGACTTTAGCTTAACATACTGTACAAGCCCAACTGCTAATTCCTTGGCTGCTTAAAGGGAAAAATGGTTATAATAAGTGCATAGGGCAAAAAGTAAATTTAGCAATTCTAGTAAGATGCTATTTTTTCCTTTGTGTCTTTGAATCAGTCTTGACTATACAACTCCTTGCAGGTTTTTTGGCAATATTTTCAGAAGTGATTGCCATTGCTGCCTTCTTCCTAGGGCTGCGAGGGTTTGCCTGACCCAAAGTTACCCAGCTTGCTTCATGCAAAAAGTGGGATCAGGATTCATGTTCTCGCAGTTTCTAGTCTGAAGCCAAACTTGTAATCAAATTCAGCATGCTGCAATTTTAAATATTCTAAATTTCACACACTATTAGTTATATGCACTAAGAAATGCAATTGACCTACATTACTTTTTCATACATATCAGAGGAAATTTAACTGTATGAATTACAGCTGTTAAAAATATAAGGTAAACTCAACTCTTAGTGACTGCAGAGCCAGGTTAATGTTGTTTTGCTGGCAAAAATAAGTGGTTTGCCATCAATTTCCATGGGATTTTTTTTTCTTTTTGGATGCCAAAGTGGAATCTAAAATTTTGGGATTAAAAAAAAAAAAGATTTCTCATCCAAGTACAAGCTCTGACATTGCTTAGCCTTTTATGAAATCATCAGCTAGATATCTAATAGCTGATGCTACACTGAATTCCTGACACTAAATTTACTCCAATGAATAAACTACTGCTATGATATACTACCAATAAAAGATCAGATTTCTCCATCTATGAAACAGTACCCTTACATCCACATGCCCTAGCATCTGAGGGACAACTAAAAATGGTGTCATTTAAAATGAACTTAATTAGCAATACCCTCAAGTTGTTTAGGTTACCTTGAAACCAATACAAAGCAACAAGTTCAGTAATTCATGGTACAATCAGCTGTTAATACAATGATTCTTAAAATGCTTGACCCAATTACTCTTTTCCCATTCTCGAATAAGGCCATTATCCCCACAAAACTCTCAAACTCTGTTGCCTTACAAAAATATTTGGCAGCAGCAGTTCGAAACTGGCTCAACTCACAAACAAGCAATTACAAATTGCTCCATTACACAAAAGATATGTCCAAATCATTATACAGACCCACTATGTAAGTATTTACTGATAACTATATTCTGATTTTCAGATTTTCTATTCTTCATTATTATTTTAAGAATTACGTATACTTTTTCACTGTACCACTACCTAATTTTAAATCTTGTGCTTTCTGGAAAAAAACTCAGCAATAATTTCCCTCATTAGTGGATGATAAGCAATATTACTAACCCTACATTCTGTAATTGCACACCTTAGTTCTTGCTTTGTATGTGTACTTTATCCTACAATGCAATATGAATGAAACAGTTGTAACATTAAACTAAGATTCATCCAGTGTTTATTTTCATACAAACTCTTAGGTTATAGAAACCTGAGTGTTAAAATTTTGGTAAGAAAACAGAGCAATATTTGCAGAAAAAGTTCCCAACTTTAAGTATGGCTGTTTTTCCCCCCTGTCTGCTAGGCAGATGGAATTATATTTAAATAAAGCTAAGACAAGTATCTCAAACATCCATCACAAAAGTAATTTGGAAATCATAGCATCATGTTCATGTCCACTGCTTGACTTCTGCCCTGAATGAAAATTATTATCACATATCTCCCAATGTTCCCTCAAAATCTGAAACACAGGTTTTCCTAAACTTCTGGAACAGATTTGGACAGCTTGGGGGGGGGGGGGGGGAGTGTCTGTTGTCATAGCAGAAGAGCTATGACACCAGAGGAGATGGTAAATCTGCCTTATACTCTTCAGTATTCAAATATTTCTAAGAGTGAAATAACAGGAAAAAGCAACAATTTCTGAAACATCTTACTCAGTTTAAAATAGTCACAAAAGTAGAAAAAGAAAGGTTATTAACAGGTAAGAGCAATAGATTTAACAGAGTCTTCAAATTAAATTCTGTTGTTTTGACTTCTCTACCTAGTTCATAAATTACAAAGACTACAGTGATATAAGAGAACTTCCAAGTCTAAACCATTTGATTGTCTTAAACATTTTACCAGATTTTTTTATTCAAAAACTTGCGTCATTTTTCCTAATTATTCATGAAATAGTAATTTTATAACCAAATGTTTTATTAATAATGCAATATCATTACTTCTGAATTAGATGACCACAGCACAAAAAGTAGAATGCTGCAGATACAGAAAATGTTTTGCTTCACCCAGCCTATATTGGCTGTTATAAAACCAGCTAGTGTACATCAATTTTTCATAATCTGTTTAATACGTATTATCTTCATTGACAGTGTAACAGCAGCTCTACCGTGTGAGATAACATGATACTTGGTACAGATTTCTCATATTTGGTCTTCTGATAAAACATTTCCAAAAACTGACTAAATTGTAAGCCATTCCAAGCCATTTCAGTCCATCATCAAAATACAGATTCTTCTTGAAATGATAAAAACATATAAATTATAGCCCAAAAGAAAAAAAGAGCAAGACAAATCAAAGGTTAAAGCCAGGTCTTCACCTTCAATTCATCTTAAATATGTGAAAGGGACAAGAAACTATGTGAATTGGACAAAACAACTCTCAGCTGTTAGTTTAGTTCAGTAATAAAACATGAATTCTTCTTTCACAACTCAGAGAAGAAACCTTTAAAATATTCCAACTGCCAAACACTTTCTTTCTTAAAAAGAAAACTATTTCATTATACTATAGTAGCCACTGTTAGAAAACCACAGTGGCCACTCTTTAATGAAGACCCCAGAAGGTCTCCATAGGACATCAAAAGTTAAACTCATTAAGTTATATTTCTATTGGTGGATGCTTAGCTTAAAAATATTCAATATATCTCTGACAAGATATTTTTATCTTTTTAAAAGGACATGTGATAAAGGCTTTGTTTTTCCAATGAAGAACAGTCTGTCATTTTAAACATACACAATATTATTAGACTTTTTACTTTAGACTGGAAAAATTTGCCAGGGACAAAGTCAACACAAAGTAACAAACAGCAAAAGGTAGCAAGAAAGAGAAACAGATAAGTGCAGCTCTGGTCAAATTCATAGCAGTTCTTTACGTCAGTTAACAGTTCATTTACACTGTATTTCTAATCAGTAACATGCAAGCCCAAAGAAGCATTTGATCACTACACAAGGTAATAAAATTTGATTAAGTTTATCAGGCAACTGCTAAAATATGAAAATTTGCAGATGTAACAAATTAGCTTTATCTGAACTTTAACAGGAAAAAATTAAATCATTCCATTGGTTAAAAAACCCTACATTCGGTTTTACCAAACAAAATTTCACATGAAAAGTAGTATGTGATTCCAAAGTTTCTGGAGTAAAAATGGAGTGATCTGAAATGTCAAAGACCCCATTATTTTGAAAAAAAAAAATGAAAGTACACATCAAAAATTTCTAATTCCACATGTGAACAACAAAATACTGCATATCTACCAACAACTGCATTGGGTAGGTCATTATGAAAGGCTAGCTGCCAAGATGTTGGAAATGGCTCCTTGCCTCTGTTCCCTTTGAGGAATATACAATCGTCTGAAATCCAATCACGCGGAGAACTTATCATGCTGGGATATATTCCAATATTCAATCTTTAAAATAGGTTTTTAAAGTTGCTATCTTCCCCAACTTTTTCCTCTCAATGTATATGTACGTATAAAGAGTCTCTTCGGAACAGGAAGGAGAAATGGAAGGGGGAGGGGTCACAGCCTCCGGACTAGGATGTTTTAGACATGTTTTTGTTTTTTTTAAATTAAGGAGTTCTAAGGCCACCTGTGTTTCTCAGTGCTGAAAGATGAAGTCACAGGGCCCCTTTCCCCGCCATGAGAGAACATGTTCAAGAGTTTAGATGTTTAAAGGTCTCATTTTGGCACCAAGGACCATTGTTTTTAAAAGACTATTCCTCCACATTCCTAGTTCTTGTTGCTTTGTTCACTCACTGCCACAGGTGGGGTTTCAACATTCACAGCTATAACTATGTTTTCCCCATCCTCTGTTTTGATCCGTTTTAAGTCTTGCTGTTCAGACTGATCTCCATTCTGACGTTTCGTTGGAAGAGAGGCGGATGCAGATGCATGAGTTGCTAACATGTGTAATGGACTTGCAGCAGCTGAAAAAGAATTGGGAGAGAATATATTAAACCCAATCAAATCAACAGTAACCCTTACCCTGAAACCAAACATTACATTACCTAAAATATACAAATCTCAGATTAAGGTTTGTCTTAAAAACTATTCTAATAAACTCTAATTTGTATGAATACTTGCAGCACCTGAACATACCTTAAAATAGTGGTTAAAGATGAACGCAGTACTTAATCATGCGAGAAACTAAAAGCAATAATAGATCAGCAGTAAATTTGCAACGATAACTTGGGCTACTACCCCAAGCCACGAAAGAAATAGGTTTCTGTGGCCATATTCAAAGGACTGTATCTACGCAGATGTAGGTAGTCCTCGACTTACAACTGTAACGGAGCCTGCCCATTAAGGTCACAACTGGTGAAAACTCTTAAGTGAGGCAGCCTCTGCTCTTCCTGATGCCACCATTAAAGGAATGTGGGTTGTTAAGTGGTACGTAACAGGTGTGGGAGGCCATGGGAGCTGCTTTCCAAAGCAGCCGGCATCCTTTTTGTTACCTCTGTGACTTCCTTTAGAACCCAGCTTCTACCATGGTGGTTTGGTGCAGGTTTGCGCTGCCACTTTCCTTTTGAGCTGAACTACTTCTTCAGCTCCTCAAGGCAAACAAGCTGCAGAAAGATTTTTTTTTCTTGATTTCCTCCTTTCCTTCCTCTATCTTCAGCCTGGCGATGTCTCATCAAGGTGAGCAACCAGATTTTGACACCCTCTTTCTAGGTATGCACTAAATTTAGCCAATTAAGTGGTTAAAAGGGATTGAGATGGGGGGAGGGGGCAGAGTTTAGTTTCAGCCTCTAATGGGGGAGGGTCTGTCCCTCCCAGCTTTTTGTTTTGTTTTGTTTAATAAATGTGGAGTGGGAAGGGGAGGGAGGGGCTAAGCAAGGGAAAGGTTTTGGGAAGCTGGTCCTGAAGCTGCTGCCTTTGCAAGACAGCTGGCTTCCCCAAAGCCTAGGAGAGGTGTGCAGTCTCCCAATAGCCAACTGATCTTGGCAGAAAGCTGAAAGCAGTCGCCATTTGTTAGAGGAATTGTCAGAGCACTGGAAATGGTGGCTCCTTTCAGGAGGCAAGAGAACAGGCCCAAGTAGCTCAGGGTCCCATATGCTGCAGCCACTGTAAGTTTGAAACAGGGCCATAGGCTGTAACTTTGAATGTCCATTAAGTGACTGGTTGTATCTCAAGGATTACTCTTAGAGACCTCTGGATGACAAAACAATCTTGTTCACATGCATTTTCCTATACTCTAAGGACACACTTTCATACTCAACTTTGGTGATCTATGCTGAAAGTTGAAATTTTAGAAGATGATGAAAGCAAACCATATGTTCTTATGTATTTCTTTTATTCATGCATTGCCAAAATTATATAATTCCTGTTTCCAATCATAAAAACATAACACTTTTTTTTCTAGCAATAGCATTCAGGATTTCTTTAATGAAGTTATTTAGCAAAAATCTTCCAATTATTCAAATGCCTTAGGACAGTGATGGCGAACCTTTTTGGCACTGAGTGCCAAAAGCACGTATCCATAACCAAAATGCAACACATGTGCGCATCCCATGTATGTGCACGCCCCCCCGCGCATGCGCAGCAGAGGCCCAAAGACCAGCTGGCTGGCGGGATGCATGCGCGCATGCACGGTGGAGCTGAGTTGGGGTGATTGCATGCATGCCCACAGAGAGGGCTCTGCATGCCACCTGTGGCATGTATGCCATAGGTTCTCCACCACGGCCTTAGGACCACATGTAACAGTTCCTTAGTTATGTATTTATTGAGAAAATAGTTCAGTAGCTTTTTTGATGCTAGGAAGAAACAGTCTGGATTACTGCAATAGTTGAAGCTCAGTTGAATATGAATCAACCTTCCAAGAAAACTAAGGGATCTTGTCCAGGCATTTGCCAAGAATCAACACTGACTTGAAGGCACATAAACAAAAAAATGACAATATAAAGACTCAGAATTAATTGCTTAAATATAACAATGGAAAAATAAAATGAGATGAAATACTGATATAAACCAAATAATTCTGCCAGATTTCTCCTAAAAAATAGGCTTGGAAAGGAAAATTTTCTTTCCCTTTGATTTTAGGTATAAATGGGATGGAACAGGAAGAGAAAGTAAATCCCATTCTTTGAATGTTTTTTATCCTATGTTATACAATAACTAGATCAGATTTTGTAACAATCTGTTAAAAGGAGAAAACTATGGGTTGAAATTGTAAATAGATATATATATTATTGTATTACCCAAAAGGGGAGAATGTTAGGGATAACATTGTTTACCTAACAGTTTGGGTAAAATAATATATAAACTATGTTAGTGAGTTTAAGTGTATGTATCACTTTAAACTGTAAACCAGTGATCCCCAACCTTTTTTATGCCGCGGCCCGGTACCGGCATCAGCTGGGCGCCGCCATCTTTTTTTGATGAAAAAGTGCTTCCGGTGAGCTTTCTACCCGGAAAAACTCACCGGAAGCACTTTTTCATCAAAAAAAGATGGCGGCGCCCAGCAACCAGCGGCCCGGTAGGACTTGTTCCGCGGACCGGTACCGGTCCGCGGACCAGTGGTTGGGGACCCCTGCTGTAAACTAAGTTTTTGGGTGCAGTTGTAAAATCACCATAAGAGGGAGCAAGGGAGCTCACTGTTTGCTCGGCTTTTACTGGAATGCTGACAATGAAGGATTGATGGTGATAAACTGCGAGTTTGCTGAGAAGAAAGGAGGTTTGATTTTCTTCATATCTCTGACTGCAAAAGAGATATATCACAGGACTGATTGATTGTAAGTTTACTGACCTCTTTTTCGACACTGGACTTTGCAAACTGAATAACCCCCGGACTGACTGAACTTAGTGTATGACATATGGACCGTTTTGACTATGCTATAACTCTTGCTGGAATAAAAACTATTTAACTTGCACAGTGTATCTGTCTTACTGAGTGTAAGCTACTACAACGTTTTGTCTTACATATCTGCCTGTCTGCTAGACTGCCATTGCACGTTCTGCTAGGATGTATATCCCTAACAAGAGATAGTAATATCTTGGGGAAAATTGGACCCAAAGAAATCATAACATACTGTTTACTAACTTTTTTGTACATTTATTTGGGGGGTATTAAGAGCTGTATTTAGTATTCTTTTCTGGCATCTCATAGCTTCCAAGAGGGATTTTTCCATATCCACAAAATAAACAAGTTAAAAAAATTGAGCATGGATCCTATCTTCTCTTTGACTGTACATGTCTCTGGCAGAATTGCTTCACTAAATGATTTTCCAGACTACAAATCAACCCAAACTTCAGCTGATTATTCTCCCATCTCCAAATCGTCTGCAGCGATTATTAGACCTTTTATGCTTAGGTTTTAGTAGTATTTGTATATTTCAACAGTAACTTCACCAAAGCAAGAATTTTGAATGATGAAAAAGAAACATTTAAGTAAGTAATGCAATGCATGGGAATAATAATTGCATGGGAAGTCATCATTAAACAATGCAGTTGTCAAAGTGCAAGAACATGTGACTGTATCATTTAGGGACACTTTATTCTGACACTCCTAATAGTGTTATTAAACAAATCCCCTGCAGTTCTTAAGCAAGGACATTATAGGGTTGCCATCTGTAACTTGCTGCTAGCCCTCCCATTGACAGTTGAAAGCTGGCAAATGAGGATGAAAATGATGATCATATTATCGTGGGATTTTGCAACTGTGAGCTAGGGGTTTGCCAAGTGACCATGGGGACACTGCAATGACCAGAATGTCAAGAACTGGTCATAAGTACTATTCGTTTAGCACCGTCACAAATTTGAATGGTTGTTAAATGAGCAATCATTAACAGATGATGAACTCTATATGGAAGAAGTGACCATAAAAGATCTCAACGCTGATAACAAACATTTGTGAAATGAACTGGACCCAGATTTTCTGGAAAGTGAGGTTAAATGAGCCCTAAAAATATTGCTAATAAGAAAGGTGCAAGTGTTATAAAAAACAGCAGAACTATTTAAGGTGTGCTATCTACAATCTATAATTAGGTCTGGAAACTACAACAGTGGCTGAAGAGAAGAGATAAATTTATATTCCAGTACCAAAAAATGACAACGCTAAAAAATTCTTAACAATTGCATTTTTCTCATATGGTTTAAAATAGTACCCAAGCATTTGTAATCCGAATTTTAACAATACATGAAATAAGAACTAGAAATATTGGACAGGTTGAATAAAGAACATTTGATGCCTCTGAATTGTAAGCACTGGAGAAAAAGCCGAGAATATCCTGAATACAAGAAGAATAAATAATTAAATTCTAGATGAAATGAAACAGAAAGCTCACTGTTGGTACTCACTGAAAAAAGCCAAATATTTTTGGATACATAATGTGAAAATAAGACTCATTGGAAAAGATCCTGATGCTTAAAATATCTGAAGGAAATTAAAAAGTAAGGTAACAGAAAACAAAGTGCTTAGATAATATCACCATTGAGCTCATAAGAACTCAAAAAGTAGTCACTGCTAAGCAATCCTAGTAAAATGACATCCATAATTTGCTCTTTATTGTTGGACTAACACAATTCTCCCCCATCCTCTTTAATATCAGGGAAATGAGGAACTTCTACTCATTTTAAGTCATTTGAATCTTTGAGATTAAAGAAGTTCCTCAACATCTTCTGACAATGTAGGACGCAGGACACTATATAAGTTGAAAACCTGTTTGTGTAAGATTAAATGATAACACAGTATTTCATACACCTGTTAACAGACGTCAAAAGAATATTATAAATATTCCTAGATAAAATCGTTAGTTGTATTTTTTCTCATTTTCATTACATGTATTATTTCAATTTCAAAAGCAAATTCATATAACATGGACATCTATTCCTCAAGAAGTCCATTCCCCAGAGCCTTTTTTTTTTTTTTTTTTGCCAATCAGAGCTACTTATGCAATCCCAGTTGCTAATTTAGTATGGAAGAAAAACAAGATAGGCAAAAATGGTCATGACAAGATGTATTTAGATTTAGACTACAAATAACACCCAAATAGAAGTTACATGTAGTTAATATTCAACAATATGAGGAAATAATGATGAATTTATTTGGATATTTTTTTACAATAGATAACTTGTGACGCTTAACACTCAATTTAAAATGCTTACCAGTGTTAGCCTGACTCTGCATTGCTGTGGTGATAGGTACTATATGTGTTCCATTTTGCGTTACAGTTTTTATTGGTAGCTGGTGTTGACCTAGAGGTGCTTGTTGTACTAGAGTAACCGTTTGTAACGGTGTAGTCTGAGATGTCTGAATGATGCGGCTGGCAGCTCCTAGAGTTGTATGGCTAACTGTGGGTACAGGTTCCACTTTAACTAGAGAAAAAAAATTAGGTAAATGTTTGAAATGGTAAAAGTAGTAAATAAACATCAAAGTCAGCATATCATAAAAGAAATCAATATGAAATTTCAACAAATCATAATAATTTTTTTACCTTTCATTTCATTGTGATCTCCATTCTCTTGAGGTTCTCCTTTAGGCTGGGCCATCACTGCAGCTTGTGTAACCACTGCTTGCCCAGCTACAGTATAAGTATTTGCTGGTGCTAATCCAGTCACATTTGTGACAGATACAGCTGGGATTTGATGAACAACATGAACTGTCTGTACTACAGGCTGCTGGGACGTTGACGTTGTCACAGGAGTAGCAACAGTGTATGTGACAGGTTTCATAGTTTGTGGCAGCTGCCTCTGTACAGTAATTAAAACAGGTTGGCTAGATAGGGGAGATCCTGTAAAGAAAGATAGAAAAAAATGTGTTACATCCTTTTTTTAAAAAAAATATTATATGCAACTTGCTTTCTTAAATTAAAAAGAAAACAGCTATAACATACACATACACACACGCACCACTTTAAGTAATCTTCTAATTACTCAGAAATTAATAAAGTGGGATTAGGAATTATTATCTCTTCAACAGGAATATCAGGTTAAAATTCACTGCTATGTCACTATTAGTACTACTAGTATATTATAATTTGTTTTTTTAAAAAAACCTTACACATAAAATGTAAATGTTGTACTGCTATATTTCAGTGACAGAGTACATCCACTGAAGGTAGAACATATATTATTCATTTTCTAACCCTTCTATGTATGTCTCAGAAAAATGCATACGCAGCTTGACTTTCATAACTAGAGCTGCATGAGTGTGCATGTGCAGCAGCTCACTGTTCGCACAAGTCGAGCTGGACATGCATATGTGCCAGTCCACCACTCGCACGGCCCAGTTCCAAATAGGCCATGGCCAGTAGTGAGCCATGGCCTGGGGTTGGGGATCCCTGGTCTACATGGTCCAGAATTTTTGCTGTAATCCAGCAATGTGAAAAGACAATAAGCTTCAGAACTGTGCTATTCAGAGTTGGTAAGCAACAGTATTAATCACATTGTATTTCACTATGAATTTATCAGCCATTTTAGTATGAGGAAACATTTATATTATGTCTTACATATTATATATTTATCCAATCTTTATCTCTAATAGCTGAAAGGGGTTTACATGGGCATAATCCTTGACTTTATTCCTCCAAAAGCAGCTTTGTGAGATAGGTGGAGTCAAATGTAGGATTGGGCACAAAGTCACCCAATGAATTTTCATGACTAAAGTTGGACTTGCATCTGGCTCTCACCCACCCTAGTTCAACATTTTAATACTACATAACATTGCCACTACTAGGGTAATGTACTTTTTCATGTAAAATTTCTAGAATCCTCGCATTTTAAATCATCCACAAAGTATTTTTTAGCTATTTTGTGTAATTTTAGTACATAAGCATTGCATGAACGTTTCACCTGGGGCACTCTGTGCAAATCGTGCTTCTTGTATTACTGCTAGTTTTGGTTGGATACTGCTTGGTTCAGGCTCCATTGGGACAGGCGATCCTTCCCTCGATAGGCTTTCTGGGGTTTGCACACCACTCGAATGAGCAGATAATACTCCAGAATGGTTAGGAGAAGCTGGGGCACTTCTGCAAATAAAGAACAGAAACGGCCACTTTTAGATACAAAATGAACAACTATTACACTAACCCATAAAAAATTATCTGATCCGTATCTTTCCGCAGGGAGGATTTTATAGAAGTTTTATAAAGGCAGGCAAAGTGTTTATTCAGAAGTACAGAATGAAAAAAGTGGTATAGATGGGCCAGAAATTAATGAGAATTTTAATAATAGAAACGTATGTTCTACATTCTATATTTAAAGTAAAATACTTTAATCTTGTTTTTTTTCCACTCAATTTACTTTCACATTTTCTCTAAAACACAACACTTATCTTAAATGAACAGTTCTTCAGCAAGATGCATGTTTCAGACAATGCTTAAATAATAAATTGCAGTTTAAACAAAATTTAAATGTAATTCAGTTGAAACAAGAAATGAAAATGAAATGCTATTTGTACTCCTCATCTTGATGCTATAAGTTCCAGCTTTTACTCACTCCTAGTTCAAGGTTTTTTTAATTCTTTAAACTATTAATTTAACAAATTATTAAATTATTCCAAATTCTTAACGGGATAAAACTACTTGTCAATTTTGTAGTTTCCAAACATGTCTTTTTTGTGAGAACATGAATGTATTCAAATTTTCATAGGGAATATGCTCCTGGGGAATGGTAATTTGAAGCATAAAAGCAATGTGTAACTGCAAAAGGTTAAATACTATGTATTATTGTCTTTTCTCTCTGCTGTTTTCTTTAATCCCAAGCACTTTTTCTAGTTTTTTTTTTTAATAGCTGAGACTATGAGGAAAATAACAAGTGTTTTGTTTGCTAAAAGTAAACATTAAGTCTTTCTTTCATTAAGATTGACTTTTGGTGACTATATTGAAACAAGAATGTTTCTTGGCAACAATATAGCAGTTGCTTGTTACTGCCTTTTTCGGAAATTTAATTTTCTATTTTCCAATATAGTCTACAGCCTGCGAATCTTTTTGTAGTTTCACATTAAAGTACTAACTAGGGCTTTCTACAATCAGCTCAAGTTGACTAGGTGATTCTATAGCAGGGGTGTCAAACTCACAGCGTCATGGCGTCGTCACATGACTTATAGGGACTTTTTCCCCCTTCGCTAAACTAGGCGTAGGCGTGGCCAGCGCGTGACACATCTGGTCCGTAGGATGGGAGTTTGACAGCCCTGTTCTATAGGTTGCAATAAGTGTTTGTAGGTAATACCAAATTGTGAGCGGGCTGATTACAAATGAATCTCCAGTCATGAACCAACTACACATGTAACAGCACTATATCTACACTGAAGGAATTAACCCCACTATCCTCAGTTATTGCTTCTATGATTCCTGCACTGGATAGCGGGTTGGAATATATTATCTCCAAGGCCCATAAACCAACTCCTTACATTCCATTATTCTAAGGTAAGAAGTAAAACATGCTACATTTACAAAAAGACAAATAGCAAAAAATCAGCATGATCAGAACAGTAGAAATATTCATAGAGCAAAAATTAACCTTTTTTTAGAGTTAACATAACACATTGTATAATGATTAAGTAAGACAGTTTAGGTTTGCACAATAGGCTAAGCCACAAGAAAATCTAACCAAGGTTAATATTAATGTGTTATTTATTCATATAAATAAATAATCAATAATTAAATAAATAAATAAATCATTATGCTTAGTATATTATGCAAATACAATTTGCTAGATCTTTAAGTGTGAATACAGCCAGTAACAATAACTCCAGGGGACATTTCTTCCTTAGTACTGCAATCAGATGTAATCATAAAAGCACCATCAAACCTCCTCAAAGAAAAAAAAAACATTAATAGTTTCCTTTGTGCCCCAATTATTTATTTATTTGATAAACATCTCTGTTGTTTAGACAAGCGATAATCATCCTTCAGCCAACCGACCCTTAAGTACACTTAAAGGAAAGCCTCTGGACTGCTATGCTTAAGTTGTCGTCCTCAATACCTTACCTAGAAGAAAGAGGTCCCAGTGGGGTTCTAAAGCAAGGTACTCCCCTTGGCCGCCTTTTTCTAAAAGCCTGTTCTATTAATTTGCTTTCAGAGGCAGGATCTATCCTCCAGAAGGAACCCTTGCCTGGTTCTTCCTGGGAACGTGGTACTTTGATGAAATAACGATTCAGAGAGAGATTGTGACGTATTGAATTCTGTGAGTCATAAAAGAAAACAAACAAATCATCCATCTCAGTATTAAGTTGGAATGCATTCTAATAAAAAAAAAATCCCACTTAGAACTGCTCATATTCTTTATTATTATTAAATTTTTTAATGATCCTTCCACAGAACTGCGCATATTCTTAAGATGCTTTCTTATTCTTAGGTCCTTGATTAGGACTTTAAAAATTAAGCTCCCACCAGTTTTAGACTGAGTGTGTTTAACTGTAGATAGTTCACATATAACAACAACAAAGATCTGCAAACACAACTGTGGCAAAAAAACAAAGACAGTAAGAATAGTAATAGGCATCTTGGATACAATCCCAAAACATCTGGTGTATCACTTGGAATACCATTGGCATTGACAAAATCACTATCAGTCAATTGCAAAAAGCAGCTTGAAACAGCTTACATCCTGCGACAATACCTTTACCACCATCAAATAACAACATCTATTTATCCCAGATCCTTGGGAACAACTCAGCAGATGGATAAAAATGCCAAATCCAGTTTAAACATCAGGTTGATTGTACGACCAACCATAATAATAATAATAATAAACTTTAAAATATACAGTCAACAAATTTAATGTGAGCAAAACAAGATGACCATATACTTTTTTTCAGAGTTCAGCCATTCAAAGGCAATAGGAATTAGAACAAATCTATAGTAATATAAAGTTATTGAAATTGGAATGAGTGTTATTTGGTTTGATAAATTTAAGCATCCAGTATTATGAGCACATTGCACAAAACAATGTGCATATGATGACATTCTATACACTATTAATATTAAACTGTTTAATTTTAATACATTCTTTCTATACGTAAAGATATTTCAACATGAGATCTCATAATCAAAATTAGATTGTATAGAAATATAAATGGCACAATTTGCAATTAAGAATTAAAAGTTGTGAAGTAAACTATTTTATGAAGAAATTCTACGGAAAAGGAATAGTTTATAAGAACAGGTAAGAACTTCAAAGTACCATGTTTCCTCTGAAACATCACAAAGCTACTTCTGGTTTAGACAATCAATTTCCAGAAAATGCTAGACCATTCTTGAAATAACTATATTGATGTGATTTTAAGGAAGAAACAGCTCTCCAGAATGATCTCTCCCCAAAATAATCTACCCAAACTATAGACTTTGCAGATGCCTAGCTTTAATCCACTATAGTTTGCTCATTTCATTTAAAACAATATTAATAATTTTTACCTGCCAGCCCTTGTCTGCTGTCCTGTAGTAAGGGTAATTTTTAGTTATGTGCGTATAAATTCCATTTAGTGTAAGTTGCTTATCAGGAGCCATTGTAATTGCTTGTACAATTAGTTGTGCATAGGAATAAGGTGGCTTTGAATCATCCTAAATATTAAAAATAATAACATAATGAAAATAGCTCATTCCTCCAGGAACATTAGAAATATAACACCATTTATAATTTAATACAAAGAACATTATCTCTTGAGAGATACCATCATGCACATTGAACAACTTTTCCGTTTTTATTACATATTTGCATTTTCAATTTTATCACATACAGCCTGCCACAATCCATTCCAAGTGTAAAATACCTCTAATGTACTTTACTGTTACCATGCTTTTTTTCTTTTAGTATATTCACCCTGCAACTCCTAAGCATATTGTTTGTCATGTGGAGACTTAAGTTCAGCCTAAAATAACTAGAGGACAATAGTTTGGCCTACCTGAGAACTTCAACTAATCAGCACTTACTTTCTTTGCTCAAACATGTTGCTTCCTGAGTATACAGTTCTCTACTTGTCAATCCCCTCATTTCTATGAATTTATAAATAACCAAAAAAAAAAATCTTTAAAAGAAGCACAAAAAAGCATCATGTAGTGCATGGTTTTGTTTTTCTGTATTTGTGGCCATCTATCTTTGGGTTCACAACACACTAACTGAGCTAATCGGTTGTTCAGGTAGGGGCAATTTGGAGGTTGTCTGGGGAATTACAGCAAAAGTACAAAAGCCAAACATTCTTCTCTCTTTGGCAGAATAGCATTTTTGTTTATATACTTATTTGTTAATTTATATGCCACCTTTATTGCAGGATCTCAAGACACTTTTTATCTAAAGATCCCCTTTCAGATTATCACTGCAAGAAGAATACTATGAGATAGGCTAAATAGAGAAACTGCAAGTGATAGAGTTTAAGTGTTTCTCCTTCTAAATCTTGTAAGTATTGCCTAGTTTCTGGTATTCATGCTAGCTTAATATCATCCAACAGCTTATCACTTGTCTAGAAGAGATATGAGGTAAGAAGCATGGACCACAGCAGACAATGTGTCCATTCAAAACACAGACACCCATGACATTAGATGTTCTCCTGTAGCAGAAGCAAGAGGAGAAACAGGAAGAAGGGGGTGGAGGGGAAATGCTCATGATTTTAAAAATGCTTTAGTTTTCAGTCTGAACTGCTAACTACACATAAACATTATTTCTGTTTACTTTTTAAAGCAATATTTTTCAATTAACTTCCATTATATTACTCAGTAATGGATTTTACAAATGAATTCTAATCAAAAGAATCTCACCTTTGGGCTATCTCCACCAGATGCTTCTTTATCATTTTCTGACTGTGAATTATCAGCCATAAGATGTAAGTCAGATGGTATTACACGACCCATTTTGTACCCTGAAGAACCTGCACCACGAGGACTAGATGGGCAGGAATTTGCAGCACTGTAAAACAGTATGAAAAAAGTTGTCTATTTCATTACAGAATCATTGATATCATTGTGTCCAATAATTTCCTTCAGCTAAACATAATTTCCTGAACAAACTTTCTCCAGCTTTCTAGGTTATACTGACATTAGTGGGGAATTACAATTAAAAAGACAGAGATTTTCCTTCTGTATTATCATTAGAATATATATTTATAGGAACATCTTTGCAAATATTGCCTCTATTCCAAAAACAATCCCTTGAGAGATTAAAAACAGGTTTAATTCTAGATGTTCAGTGACAGGCAAGGTTGAACAAATCTATTTGCCTTTACTATTTACTATATAATACTACTATTACACTTGCCCTTATGGTAAGTGTCCACTCTTCCTCTTACAACTATTAGCTTAGTGTATTGTTTGGAAGAATCAGATTATAATAATTATGCCAGAATAAATGTTATTAAAAAGTATAATATTAAATCTAAAAACTTGATATTTATAAAATACATAAATTATTATAAACCTGCCAAGTAATAATAAATTTTAAGGAGTACTACCATATCTGGACTCCAAAAATACATGAAAACCATTTTTAATGTGTTAGAATTTCTGGTATCTCTTTGTTACTATCCTAGTGACCATTTAGATTTTTGCAGCCTAGATATGGTGACCCTAGTTTTAAAAGTAGGATGTATAGATTAAATTAATCCTAGAATGAATAGGCCCATACATGCGAATATACAAATAGCCTTGAACTTATGATCACAACTGTGATCAGAATCTTCAATCACCAAGTGAAGAAAACATTAAGTGAGATGTCATGTCATTGCTTCAGTCAATAACCACAATCCTGGAACTACTGGCTGTGGTCATTAAGCAATCTCTCACTAAGTGGATAAACTGAAACCGTTATCTGCTGGACTTTACCTCTGCATGGGGTTGAATCCCTGTAGCAGGTATCTCTTTCACACTCAAAGAGGAAGACTGAAAAACACCCACCTCAAAATCGAAGCAGGATTTTGGCTTGGAGTGTTTGCAGTATAAGGCACTGGGCTTCCTTGTTTCTGGTGGCTGACTGCAAAAACCTCATTCTGCATCCATCCAAAAATCCAAGCAGGATTTTGATACAGAATATTTGCAGCATGGGGCGTGTATAGCTAGCCCACCGAGACAAGAGGTAGTCCTCTCAAGGAAGCAGCAGTATCTTCCAATCTTCCCTGCCACCTTCCCCATTATTTACTGGGAAAGTTGACAGGGAAAATTGCAAACAGTGGTCACATGATCGCAGGGCACTTGACAACCAGTTGTAATAGGTTCCCAAGTGCCCAGATCACAATCACATGATCATGGGGGTGCTGCAACAATGTAACTTCAGCACAGTCTCTTCATTCAAAAGTCCTTCATTCATCTCATCATAATTTTGAATGGTCACTGAACAAATTCTTATTAACCAAGGGCTACCTTTAATTAAAATTCTGGGAAATGAAACAAAGTGCAGTTTAAAGCAAGAGGGAGATATAATAAAAAGTAACATGAAACAAATCTACAGCTTTAAACTCTGGCTTCCTGAAAATCCACTATTAGAGGAAACATCCTTGTTTGATATATTATGTGAACAAACAGAATGTAATTGGAATGTTACATCAAGATAGATATCACATGGTTATTACTATTGCTAGCAGAGTTATAATTCCCAAACAAATTTTTATCATTTTAATCAATTCATTTAAGAGAATTTGTATTTAAAAGAACTCATAAATAGGTTATTTATTAATAGAAGATTCTAAAGTAATTTTTTTGTAATATCCCAGATAAATTTTTGAAATTTATCAAATAACTTAGCTGAAGAAATCTGTCTACATTCCAGGTTAATTAAAACAGAGAAAATGTTCTTGCCGTTTCAAAATGGTATTTGAAAACATAGCCCACAGTACCTTTGGTAGACAGGGGTTCATATAAACACACTTAATAAAATAAAAATATTTTTAATAATGCACTTTACTGAGTTATAAAGATAATAACAATATTTTTAAGATAACTTGCATTTTGGAATGACACATTTTAAGATGCTATAAGATATTGTTATTAGCATATTTTTAAGATTATGAATTTCACTAAAAATATTTGGGATTTTTATTTTTCTTGACAAAAGTCTTAAGTATGTAATGCTTATATATGAATGCTATAAATAACAGAAAAACAAAATATATAAATTTAATTTATAAATATAGATGTTCCATAGGGGGAAAAAAACATTTATGAGTTCTTTCTTATACTGCTCATATCTGAGCACTGGTTAACATAAAGATCTAGTCATTTCCCCCACGAGAAACATGAGTATGGTCATAATTACCTCTCCTGGGGCATGTTGTTTATGTTTTGTTTAGACTAAAAATGAAATTTTTGATCTTGCATGAAATAATGTTTTTTCCCGATATCAAGAATCACGAAAGACTCTCAGAACTTTGGCATATGTTTTTTATTATATTAAGTAGGTTTTTTTATCATAAAATATACTGATCTGGTTCATATGTTAACACCAAGTCATTGTTCAGGGTGCCTCACTGACAACATATTCCCTTCTAGTTGCACACCTTGCCTTATATTGTCACATGGTGATGACAATTTTCTGCAGTAGCATTTAAAAAAATGCAAGGATTATATTAGGAATGATACATAATAAAATATTTGCAAAGAATGATGCATAAATACTTTTTGTTCTTAGTTAAAACATTTCTCAAATATTTTAGAGACAAATTCTTCTCTGTTTTAATTCTATAATACACGTACCTGGGTACATAAGGCAATTAATTATGATTTGTATCAAGAAAAATTAGGTTAACGTTAGTTTGAACAAATTGTTATTGTGGTCTGCTGCACACAAAAATGATTCCAAATACTTTTCACACTTCATGCTATACTATGACTCCATTTAAAGAAATCAGAAGACCACAGAAAGAACTGAATCTACTTGATAGGAAGATACTCTTCAGTTCTCAGTTATTTCTCTCAGTGAGGCTGGTTGGCAGTTAAGCACTATCACTATATGAAACTGCCCGTTCAGAAGCCAGTTAGTCCACAACCCAACAGTCTTGCTATGCCTATGTAACACCTCTGTTTCATGAACTGCAGAAAACCTTCAAATGAAATTCCAGATGCTAAGTACTATGTGTAAAATTCTGCATGAACTAGGACCAAGTAATTTGGAAAACATTTGTCTATCATAGTATCTGCCTACTCTCTATGATCAGATAGAATGGTTTACTTCAGGTCCTAACAATTAAACAATGACATCTAGTGGGTTGGAGTGCTTGGTGGGTCCCTCTAGTTTGGGAACAAATAAAATATTTTTTAATTGTTTCCTCAGGGCAATTTTTAACATTACATTTTTTTAATTCATCCGTAGGTTGCTTTTGAACTTGGGCAACCTCACAATCCGATGAATACATAGTAACTATATAAGCATAAGCATATGTATATATTTATTTGTCTTCAAATAAGGCCCACACATACATTCCTTATGCCTAAATAGGTCAAGCCCACACTGAAATTAATGAGACTGTCAGCACCATCTCTAATTTAACCAAGAATGAATTCTGGAGTATCATCTAATGCTAATAAACCTGATTAAGTGGCCACAGAAAAAGAGTAAAAATAATCTGCTCCAAGGATAAGTTAAATGTGATTGCAGAAATTAAAATTACTAATTAATAAAATAATTAGTATTACATTTTTGTACTTCTACAATAAACATAAATGCAGCAACACAATATAAAAATACCTGATGGTTCCTGTGGGAGAAGGAAGAGGGCTGATTAAGTGAGCCATGTTGTCTGGAATGTTTATTGTTAGGGGAGAAATCTGGGGTTGTACTGGTTTCACTGGGGACTGCGGGGACTCCTGTTTTTCTCTCTTTTCATTGGATAAAGCTGTAAATGTTATCTTGATGTTTGTGCTGGGAAACCTGAATGTACACCTGAAAAGTAAAAACAAAAGGTATTAACTAACTACAATTACCATTTTCTTTATTTGCATACTTAAGTCATATTAATAAAAATAGTAAAAAAAGAAAATATGTTCAATTGTTATAAAACTACATGAGTATAATTATAGTAAGAATACAGTGATAAAAACAATCATTCAGTTAGAAATTTGTTTTGTGGATTTTACTTTTGATTTTTATACTCTTCCACAGTATTAAAGCCTTAGAATGATATGGACAAACTCAGCATTGCCTGAAATATAATTATTTATAAAATTTCACCTCCATATCAGTTTGGCCCAATATATCCTTAAGCTAATTTCCTTTCCAAACGTTTCAGCTTTTATTTTCTAGAAAAAATAATAATTACAATTATACATGGCTAACAGCACTTTTAAATGATGTCTTAACCCACAAGGACAGCATTGCTTATCCTTATCTACAAGAAACTCATCTAATGGAACATGACAAATCTTTATGAATGAAGGAATGGGTGGGAGAGGTTTGCATCACAAATACTTAGATAAAAACTAAAAGTGTGGCCATTTTGAGTCAAAAAGATATTCAATTCATGTACAAGTTATTAATGTAGCAACATATATTTTAATAATTATGGTTAATATTTATAGGCCTAATTTAGAGGTCTCCTATTATGTTTTATGAATGTTTTCAATATTTGAATGAGATAATTTAATGATCAAAGTAATAGGAAGAGATTTTTGCATTTTGTATTTTAACTTTCTTCTGAATAAAATGAAAAAATATTTTTTTAAAAAATAGAATTGACTGGTTTGATCTCCTCCTTCGAGTCCAAGGGACTCTCAAGAGTCTTTTCCAGCACCACAATTTGAAAGCATTAATTCTTCAGTGCTCAGTCTTCTTTATGGTCCACCTCTCACAACCATGCATTATTACTGGGAAAACCATAGTTTTGACTATATGGATCTTTTGTTGGCAATGTCTCTGCTTTTCAGTACAGGTATAGTCCTTGACTTGATCACAATTGAGCCCAAAATGTATGTTGTTGAGAAAATGAATTTTGCCCCATTTTATGACCTTTTTCCCCCACAGTTGTTAACTGAATCCCTGTTACATTAGTAACATGATTGTTAAGTAAATCTGACTTCCCCATTGACTTTGCTTGTTGGGATGGTTTTAATTGCTGTTTCCTGTTGTTACGAACCTACATCCATAGTTCTTCAGGAATTCTGCTACCAGACTTTGTCCCTTAAATTGATTCATCACCTTCACTGTATTCAGGGATGTGATTTAGGTCATATCTATTTTTTCCTTACTTTATTCAATTTAAGCCTGAATTTTGAAATAAACAGCTCTCGATCTGAGCCAGTCAGCTCTGGGTCCTGTTTTTACTGACTGTATAGAGCAGCAGTTGCCAATTGGCGGGCTGCGGCCCACTGGTGGGCCGTGAGAAAATTATGGTGGGCCGCAGAGAAATCTCACCCCCAGAGCACCACCACAAAGCAATTAATCCAGGCTGCACAGAAACACAAGGCTGCTCAGCCCACATGGTCCACGGGAACCCTCCCCACCCACTCACTCCTTACCCGGCAAACTTGCCTGCTAAATTGCTATTTTTCCTTTTTCCGACCATCATCTGTTCTGCTGTGCCGGGAGATTTAGATTAGCTAGGAAGCAGGAAAAGGTTGGATTTCTTGCTTTCTAGCTAGTCTTTAGATCTTCGAGTCAGCGCAGCCGAATCTCCCTTAGGACTGAAGGTTTGCTTGCAAGGAAATTCAGTGCAGACTCATGGCAAGCAAATTTGAGAGACTGAGCTCGCTGATGGCAGATAGATCACTGAATGATTCTATGAGCAACTCAATCTGCCTGCTTTGCCTGATTTTGGGTAAAAGTTGCTTTTTTTATAAAAAAAAATTCAATATTTATATGCATGGTGTGTTGTGAGTTAATTTTGTGAGTTTGCTTGCAAGCAAATTTTATGTGACAGACTGAGCTAGCCAATGGCAAATAGATAGATCTCTGAATGAATCTGTGCTTCTGTGAGCAACTCAGTCTGCCTGCCTGCTTTGCCTGATTTTGGGTAAAAGTTGCTCTTTTATAAAAAAATAATCAATATTTATATAAATATTTATAATATTTACATACAAGCCATGCCCAGCCAGTCACATGACCACCAAGCCATACCCACAAATTAGGCCATGCCCACAGAACCACTTAGTGGTCCCTGGGATCTAAAATTATGAGTTTGGTGGTCCCTGAGGTCCAAAAGGTTGGCGACCCCTGGTATAGAGCTTCTCCATCTTTGGCTGCAAAGTATATAATCGATCTGATTTCAGCATTAACCATCTGGTGAAGTCCATGTGCAGAGTCATCTCTTGGGTTGTTGGATAAAAGTATTTGCTATGAACAGCATGTTCTCTTGACAAACTCTGTTAGTCTTTGCCCTACTTCAGTCTGTATTCAAAGGCCAAACTTGCCTGTTATTCCAGTTACTCTTTGACTTCCTATTTTAGCATCCCAATCCTCTACAATGAAAAGCACATCTTTTGGTATTAATTCTAGAAAGTGTTGTAGGTCTTCATAAAACCAGTCAACTTCAGCCTCTTCTGCATCAGTGATTGAGGCACAGACCTGGATTACTGTAATGTTGAATGGTTTGCCTTGGATTTCAGTGGGGATCATTCTTTTGTTTTTCTCACCTTTTTAAAATGACTATGAGGGCTACTAAGGATTTCTTCTAAGAAATTCCTGCCCACGGTAGTAGCTATAAGGGACATCTGAATTAAATTCGCCCATTCCATCCACTTTAGTTCACTAATTCCCGAGTTGCCAATGCAATATATACAGGTAGCCCTTGATTTCAACCACAATTCAGCCCAAACTTTCTGTTGCTAAGTAAAACATTTGTTAAGTGAATTTGCCCCATTTTACAACCTTTCTTGCCACAGTTGTTAAATGAATCACTGTAGTTGTTAAATTAGTCAAACTGTTGTTAAGTAAATCTGGCATTCCCATTGACTTTGCTTGTCAGAAGGTCGCAAAAGAGGATCATGTGACCCTGAAACACTGCAACCCTCATAAATATGACTCAATTGCCAAATGTCATGACCATGGGGATGCTACAAAAGTTGTAAGTGTAAAAACTGGCAATAAGTCATTTTTTTCAGTGCCATTGTAACTTTGAACAGTCATTAAATGAACTGTCATAAATTGAGGACTACCTGTATACACATGAATTTACATTACACAAGTATATATAGCATTCTTTACTGTCGACTGCTATAATAATATACAATTTCATTCCCTTTTCTTGTTTTCTTGTTTTCATTTTTGAAGTCCCCTTTTTACATTATTATTTCTTTGAGAATGTATGTATTTGCATCATAATTTTATTTGCATTTTTGTTCTCTTTATATTACCATTAAAGATCTTTTTCAAAAAAGCTACAATCTGGATTAAAAGTACTTTGCTCACATGTATAAATTCCACCATCTTTTACGGCTTTAAACCATGTAAAATTTAAAGCACCAGATTAACAGAAAAAAAGTTTCTAACAAAAATGAAATACACTGCATCTTTGCAGTCTAAAAAGAACACTTTAAAAAAATTGCCTGCAGGCTGTAGTTACTGTAGAAACCAAGCTCTTCATCATTTTCTCTAAGCTGAAGACACAAAAGAGTTGGAAAGTAGGGATCAATGGGAAGCAGCTTATAAAGTTCCTTGTCACATCAGCTGCAGGGAAATCAGACGTTAATTCATTAAACATACCATGTAATGCTTCTGGAATTTGAGGCTCTTCTGTACAAATACAAAAGTAACCCTGCCTATGGTAACACTACAGTATTTGGTGATTCTCAAGACCAAAACTAAATACAAGCTTGTTATGTTGTACTTAAATTTTATCTTCAACCTAAGATCATGAGCAAATATAATTTGATAGGAAGAAGCATGTCTACACTCGCTTCAGATTTCAAAAAGCTGTTTCAACAAGTTATACAAGTTACTCAAGTCATTTCTCATAAGGCTAACCCAACTTTCTTCTTTTCATTTTATCATTCTATTTTAATAAGAAAAAAATGATAGATTTTTTCCTGTTTTTCTATTTACAGAATCTGTAGGACTTCCAAACAAAGCTGGGATTATAGGATGGGGAAAAAAAGAAAAGAAACAGAAAGCTATAATGAGATGAAGGGAGAGCAACCTGGTTCACATTCAGATCTCATAGATGTCAGGTAATAATCTTCAGGAAACTGACACACAACTAGATAACTGCTGTGAGACGTGTAATTCCTTTATAAGAATGCCTCTAGACTTTGTATACGCTCCACATTATAACAAAGATATAAGCCTGCAGTTTATTTGAAAGTTTGCTCACAAATCCAGAAAAAAGGCAAGTTGGAACAGTATGAAGCATCCAAAAGGACAAGACAATTAGGTAGAAAATAATCTCATCAGTGTTTTCTGGTAAATTACTGCTGTAAATGCCATTCTCAACACAGCAGCAATGTATGAATAGGCAAGGCAATATAATGATGGGCATTCTGTGAAAACACTCACAGTATAGACTCAGAATTCCAAATGTGGCCAAATTATTGTCGGTTCCTGAGGTTCTTCTACAATGGCAGGCATCTACAATACTGAGCACTGCCGTTTGGACTGACGTCCACTCCCAAAACCTCTATCAAGATTCTTGCTGCACTGCCTGCACATCTCAGAACAATACCAGTCCGGATACAATGTTATCTGAACGACATCCTGGTGCAGTCAGCATCCCTCAATCGAGCCGAGGAGGATCTGCAAATCACTGTACAGGCGCTGAGAACCTATGGCTTTGGTATCACTTTCAACAAGAGTCATCTAACACCGTCAACTCTTATACTGCACCTGGGGGCTGTCAAAGACTCCTCAGAGGGCATGGCATACCTCACCAGACCAACTGAAAAACATCAAGTCCTTGGCTATGCAGATCCAAAAGGACAGAGTTGCTCCCGTCATTGCTTTCTCAACTCTTGGGC